GTTGTGGCTGATTTCCCATCCCAAGATTTAGAATGAATTAATCAAAATTATTTTCAAAGAACTGGACACACTGACGTACTCCTGAACTTTGTCAACTTACTTAATCAAAAGTCCATTTGTCAATTAAACAGTTACTAACACAAACAATGCAACATAAATAGTTGGATTACCTTTATTCTTTTTCTAATTTGCACATTTATTTTTTACAAACCGCTGTGTATTAAATGCAACCATTTGCTTTTTCTGACATATTAACTGAATATGTATTCATGGTTATGATGCCTTTAAGTATGTGGTGTTATGAATGAAGAGAAACGTCAAACTTTGCACTTTATGTAAATATGTATACTTGGTTTGCAAAAAACAGCCCCGTGTTATGCAGCTGTCAAAGCGGCGTCCCTTTAAAAACAATGTTAATAGTATACTGCAATTTGAAATGAATATTTTACCACATCCTTGTTAAAAGTGGATCATAATAGGGCAAGTTTGTAAACACAGATCTCTGCAATGTTAAATAGATATTACTTTTGAAACCTGTGTGAAGAATTCATTATCACAGTTTTTGTGGCAGCATAATATGACAATATGATCAAGCAGAGAGTTCACAAAAGCTTCCGATTCAATAAAAGGTTTTGGCATAATAAACCATTGTTGCAGTCATTGTACTGTTTCAAAACACACTGATTCTCAAGTTTTTAAACAGTTATATTTTTCCCCATCGTCTGTGTTATGAATCATGGTTAAAACTCAGTTTTCACATGTTAAGTTTCTCAAAACATTATGTAAATTTTGATTTTGTAAATCTGACCATTTATCATGGATATTTGTCTTTTAACTGTGTGATGTGGGTCAAAAACATTTTGGGTTTCCTTCACAACCTTCTCACAATAGATTCTTGAGAATTCTGGTCAATTCCTGCTGACGGAGTTGGTCGATTTGCACCTTTTGGACCAAAGCCGGTTTATCTCTGGGACACAAAGTACCCACCATCTGGAGGTTGTTTTACTACTTGTGCAAGATGAGAAGTTGAAAAGCTTTAAAATTAACTTTACATAATGCTGTGCAATGTGTTGTATTCCTTTCAATACCGAAAACTCAGTTTTGGAGAAAATGAAACAATACAACATGTCATATTAGTATGGTGGAGACAAGAGATAGAAATCAGATTAATGTTAGAGGAATTTAGGAAAAGTTAACATTTAATAAATATATAAAACTTAATGTGGATCTAACAGCGGCATGCAGCCTCTAACTCAATGCAATGACAGCTACACCCAGCGCCAGATTCACCCAATATCTGGAAACGACAGCAATAAAATACTGACTCAAAGCATATCTCTCAAATTGGTGGAAATTTGTCTCTGGAAAGCCGTCACACTAGGAGAATCACATTTATATATTCATAAACATGATCCCGGAGTGTTTAGTGTGCATAAATCACAACTAGGAGATGTGATGATCTTATATATCCTATGTATAAATTTAAAATGTAATCTGGTGGTCGGCGTTTACTTTAAGCCAGTGGTTCCCAATGTGTGAGGCGCGCCCCCTAGGGGCGGCGCAGTGCCATTGCAGGGGCGGGGGCGTTGAATGAAAAAAAAAAAAAAAAAAAAAAAAAAAA